AAGACACAATTGGGGACAGGGGGAAAGTGAGGGGGGATCTAGGGGGCAGGGGGGATCCAGGCCATCCCAGGATAGGCGCCCTGTGGGATGCCTGACTGCTGCAGCTGGGTGAGGGTTGGGGCTCTGAGCCCTGGCCTGGTCTGGCATCACCAACCATCAGCTGATCTTTCATCATCCACCCTCAACAGCCAGCAGCTGCCCAGCCTCCCATGGCCTCCCCTGGCTGAGAGAGACCAGCCTACTTAGCCTGAGGATGGGAGACCACCAGGAAGCATTGGAGCTGCTGCAGAGGTTGAAACTCCTCCAGGACAAGGAGGGCGAAGCTTCAGGGCCCCCTCGAACTCGCCTCCCTCAAAAGATTCCCTCCCCTCTTTTTCCTCTTTCAGCCTTGCCTGGTCCTTTCTGGATTTGTCGAGTGATTTGACGGCGCAATTAAAGGAAGCCCTAAAAGTGGATGAATGGTTCCTGGCGCATTCGAATAACTGTACAGTTAGAGATGGTTTGGCCTGGATGGGAGCGAAGTTGTATGTACCAGAGACATTGAGAAGCCAAATATTGCAACAGGCTCATGACTCTAAAGCGGCTGGTCACTTTGGATTCATGAAGACCTTACACCTCGTTAAGCGACAATTCTGGTGGCCTACATTGAAGAAGGACATTGAGACTTATGTGACTAGCTGCTCAGTCTGCGCTTCAGCAAAGAGGCCTCCTGGTAAGCCAGCAGGGCTGTTACAAAATGTGGCCAGGCCAACAGCTCCTTGGAAGGAAATCTCTATGGACTTTATAGTAGAGTTACCCGAGAGCACTGGACACACGGTTATTTGGGTAGTAACCGATTTGTTTTCCAAACAAGCGCATTTCATACCTTGCTCTAAGATTCCCTCAGCGAAATCGTTGGCTAAACTATTTATACTACATATCTATAGACTGCATGGCATTCCTGAATGTATAATTTCTGATCGAGGGGTTCAATTCACCTTGAACTTTTGGAGGGAATTCCTGAAGTTAATAGGCTCCGCCCAGAGCTTAAGCTCTGCCCACCATCCCCAAACCAATGGGGCCTGTGAGAGAACTAACGCAGTGTTGGAACAATACCTCAGATGTTACATAAATTATCAACAGGATAATTGGGTTGACTTATTGCCATTTGCCGAGGTGGCATACAACAATTCTGTTCATAGTAGTACTGGGTTCACCCCCTTTAAAGTGGTGTCGGGACAAGACTTTGTACCCATACCTAAGCTTCCTCGTGAAAGACCTAACATCCAGTCGCTAGATGAATGGATATCTCAACTCCAACTTAACTGGCCAGTTGCCCATAAAGCATTAGATGACGCACATCAATCTCATAAGAAGTTTGCAGATAAAAAGAGAACTCCACAGAAGACCTATCAAGTGGGTGACAAAGTTTTCCTGTCCACCAAATACTTACAAACCACTCAAAAGTTGAAGAAACTTGGTCCTAACTATGTAGGTCCTTTTACGATGGAATGGATCGTAAATCCTGTGACAGTCCAATTGACACTACCAAAAACTCTTCGACAAATTCATCCGGTTTTCCATGTTACTTTGTTGAAACCTGAACACACTTCTGGTCTGAGACCAACACAGACTGATCCTCCTATACCATTGCTGATTGAAGGTGAACAACATTTTGAAGTTAAAGAAATTTTGGACTCTTGAAAGTGGAGGGGTCGCCTCCAATACCTCGTAGCTTGGAAACATTTCCCTCCTTCCCAAGCTGAGTGGGTCAATGAGAAGGATGTTAGAGCCCCTAATCTGATCAAAGACTTTTGCACAAAGTATCCTGACAAACCCTAAAAATGTATTTGATTGGTAATCAGTATCTTTTATGTTTTTCTTTTCTCTCTTGCAGGACTAACGTCTTTTTTCTAGGAGGGCCGAATGTCAGCCTTCAAGATCTTCCGCTACTGCTTTGCATCTTTTGGCTGCCATAAGTAACGGGGGGAGGAGGGGGGAATTGTCTGGGAAGAGAGCTGGAGGTGTTACATTCTTGTGTTGTGTAAATGAGGAGTGGGGGGGAGTATAAATTCCTGCTTTTAGGTTTCTATTTCTCGCTTAGCTTTTTTTTCTCTGCGCAGCTGCAAACCTTTATCAAAATATGCCAAGGTCAATGGACAGAGGCCTCATCACCAACTGAAGATGTCCACATGATTATATTCAGAACTTTTGATTGGAAGAATCTTTTGAACTATGGGGGGTGGGAACAACTTCATCACTTTGTATATGTGATCTGCGCGCCTAATTTCTCAGATTCAGAATCTTACTTGATGCTACCACTTCATTTTTCAGTAAAAGAATTCTTTTCTCTAATCTATGGAGTCTAAGTATTTCTTTCTTGGATTTTGAATGGAGCACAGACTGACACTCCCCCTCCCGCCTTTCTCAGCTCCTGCCGTTTGGAAGACCTCATGGGAACCCAATTCCCCTTGTCCAGAGGGAGGGGACAAGATTAGAGTAGAACGGAAACCCTAAAGGGGGGCAACAAGGGGGTCTCACCTTCCCTGGTCCTTGCCCCCTCCTCTAAATACAGGAGTGGGGAGGGACCGGGGGGAAGAGGGAGTGGGAGGGGCAGAGAAGAGGGAGGGAGGAGAGTGAAGGGGAGAGAAGAGAGCGAGGAGAAGGGAGGGAGGGAGGAGGGAGGGAGAGGATAGCTAGAGGGGGAGGGGCAGAGCGGCACAATTCTATTTCTGACTTCCAGAAAGTGGAATATCCCTCCCACCCAATGAGAAAGCGAGCCTTGGAAGCGTCATCCGTTTCCAGGTAGAGCAGCCACCACCGGGTCCTTTGGCGCAGGGGCCGGGTGATGTTCCGCTGTTCCTTTGCCGCCTCCCCTGGTCGCCCCGTCACCTTCCCGGTTAATGCGAAGCCTCTGCAGGAAGGAGGGAGGGAGGGCTCCCCTCTTGATTAACCCCCTAATTAAGTCAATTAGGGTCAATTTCCCTCTTGTCGAGCCCCCCTTTGCAGCTCCAAGGCCGAACTCCGACCCCACCTTGGAAGCCCCAGAAGAGGAGATGGGGAGGCATCAGAATATAGATTAGAAACAGAGAATCAGAGTTGGAAGGGGCCTTGTAGGTCATCTAGTCCAACCTAGCATCACCTGGCCCCTCCCAGCCTGAAAGGGGCGGAGCCTCCCTCCCTCCGGTCCCTGCCCATCAACCGCCCCCCTGCAGTATGGGCCTTCCTGGGGGGAGGGGCTGAAAGGGGTCCTTTTCTCCCCATAGATTCTCCACAAAGATTTACACCAGAGATTTTATTTCGTATTCTCATCTTCCTCCTCATCTTCCTCCCTCCAAGCCCTCATGAGTTAATCCAGGTATCGGATGCAAAAGGATTTTGGTTTTTTCTTCAGCTGATGAATTTCTGGCTTTTCCTGCCATCTTTCGAAAGACGGAGACTCAGCCTGGCCGGTGGGTGAGCAGAATCGCGGCTGGACTTTCTCCTGCTGAGACTCACCAGCTTCCTTTTGAGGGGGGGAGGTAGAGGCCATCTAGTCTGGCCCAGGCTTGCCTGTCTCCCCAGAGCCCCCCCAATCTCTCCTGTTCAGCAGAGCCCCCTCCCCCATTCACAGCAACGGCTGCAACCCTCCACCTGAAATCCCTCTTGCCCTTAGCCAAGGCCACCGGATCCAGGAAGATCCCAGAGGATCCAGGGATCTCCAGCCCGCCTGGGACCACCCCATCTTGAGAGATGGTCAGAAGCTTCCCCCACCACCTTTATGAAACTCCCCTCCCCCCAAAAAACAACCCAGCTCCCATCACTAGGAGAAGAAGGACCAGAAAATGGGTCCTTTTACAGACGCTGGGAGAGCAGAGAAGCCATCAAGGGGGATGGGGTGGGGCGAACTCAGCCCCCTCCCCCATATTTGTATCTCAGCAAAGGCTCTGCTGAACAGGCGTGCAGGTGTACACAGGCACACACATACAGGAGAGAATCTCCTTAGAGAAGCAGCAAAGAAGGTTATCATGCCCCTTGCGGAATCTGACTCGGAGGGGGAGGCCGAGCAGATGACTGGGAGTGGGAGTGTGGCTCCATTGGCTGGGGAAGAAACTGGGGAGGGGCACAGTGTGACTGGGCTGAGCAGGGGAGAGATAGAGCAAGGGAGTAGGAATTCGGAGGAAGACCCAGGCCCACCTCCTCTTCATTCTTGGGCATGCAGGGAGGAACAGAGAAGGGAGCAATGTGAGTTGCATGGCTTACGTGGGAGGAAAGGGCCCTGATTCCCTTCATTAGCTGCAGCTGTGAACACAGTGTTTAAAAAGGGATTTTGCGTAGAGCAAAGTTTCTGGAAGCAAATCGTGAGTTATCTTTGTTTGTCAAGGCTCATCTGGGTTCCTGGCATCTTCCCAACTGTGTGTGTGTTTGTTGGCCTTTCAAGGCTGCAATTCCTTCTCCTGCCCTGTCCAGTTAATTGCTGCAGTGTGGTTTGTGTGGATTTTTAGTTACAGTTTGCATGTACTTTGTTTTGGACTGAATTTCCTCCACTTAAAGGCTGTTCTTGGGAGAGTTTTTCCTCCAGCCGAAGGGAATTGGACATTGGGGGCAAAGTTGGAGGTACTAAAGGACTCTTCTTACTTATGGGACTGTGTTGCCCTTCAGTCACCTGAGACCACCTGAGGGACCTTTACCAGGGCCACTACTCTCAGCCCCACGATCCTTCCTGCTTTTGGGTCTTCGGGCAGCGGAGACTCCGAGACTCTTGTATAACCTGGGGTGCTGCTGAAGGCCCCCCCAACCTCATGTCCTGGGTGGAGCTCCCAGTCTTGGCCTGGGGGTCCCCAACAGAGCTGTGTTGGTCCCCCCCTCCAGAGCTCCTCCCCCTCAGAAAAGAGCCCGGGCAATCCTGCGGCCAGTGGCCTTGATCTTCGGGAAGGTGGCGCTGATGTCAATCTCCCTGGCTCGGGGGCTCCTGAGTTGGGGGGTGGGAGGGGGGTCTTCCTCGGTGGGCCCTTGGGCTAGAGCAGGAAGACCAGACTGAAGCCATTCCTGGCATAGAAGATGTTTGCCATGGGGGGGAAGACCAGCTCTGCAGGAGAGAGAGGGAGGATCAAGGAGGAAGACACCCATTTCTCTCCTCCCCGGCAACCCCACCCCTGCAACCCTCCCCACACCACACACCAGGCCTCAGCAGGCTGCCCCTCTCAAATCTGAACTTGAACACAGGTCTTGTGTGTGCAGAGATGTCGCTTTCCGGAATCAGATCTGCAGGGACCCCACCATGCCAGGGTGACTTCCAGAAAATGCTCCATAGTGGCCACAACACATTCACACACACACCCCGGCCCTCGTTGTGGGGCAGTCCGGCCAGCCCCACTGACAGCCCTTCCCCTCTTCCTCACCTCGGCCATCCGGCAACAGCTGCACCAGCTTGTAGTCATGTGCCAGATTCTTGTCCTGGTTGTGTTTCTCCAGCACCTTTGCCACCACGGTGGGGGCCTTCTCCTGGCTTGTTACCTGGGGAGGAAGATGGAGAAAGGGGGTCAGTCGGCCAGCCCGGTTGATGCCTCCCCCAAAGGCAGAAATGTCACCCAGCACTTGCCAAGGGAGATCGGCACCTGTTCTGACCCAAGCCTTGTTAAACAAACACAAAGTATGTATAAAAGCAAACCTCTTTTAATGCAATGCTATGAATTCTGTGCATTCACAGCCAAGAGTCTTTCAAAACTCATTGTCCCAGATTCAAGGTTGCAGAAGGCTGCCAAGAACGAGAGACTAATTGCAGATAAATATCCCAACCCAGAAGTTTCCAAAAAACAAACTGGAGGACGAAGACTCTGGGCATAAAGAACTTCTTTGCTTCCTGCAAAGAAGCCAACCCCGAAGGCTGGCTTTTATCCCTTATGGGAGAGGCCATCATCACCTTCCAACCTTACTTCCGACTTGGCCTTGCTGCTTTAGCTGCTCTTTCCTTTGAGTAGCCCTGTGTGCATGTGCACTGGGCACAGGCTCCTCGGGGTCCTCTGCGTCACTGCTGCCAGCCTCCACAACCTCCGAAGGGAGCACCCCACTCTCCGATAGTCCTGGCCCCATCCCTGCAGCACACGCAGGCCCCTAGTCTGAGGCCTCGCTCTTTGAGGCCTCAGCCGTCTGCACCTGCTGCCGGCAAACCAGAACAGCACCCTTCCCATGCTTGGTCTGCCTTGTTCAGCATCCACAGCCCTTGCAGGGACCTCTAAGTGGAATGGCGGTCCGGTTGGTCGGTGAAAAGAGCTCAACCCTGCTTGCTAAAAACTGGAACTCAGCCAGGATTGATTGAAACCCAAAGAGCTGAACTACAAACATGGCGGTTTGCTTAGCTTAGTTTTTTTAAATAATTGCTTATTTATTTATCTTTTTATCGTCTGTAACCTGCCTACCCTATCGGGGAGACAGGCAGCATGTCAATTTAATAAAAATAATAAATAGTGGTAGTCTTTGACTTACGACCATAACCGAGGCCAAAATTCCTGTTGCTAAGCGAGATGAGTGAATTTCGGCCCATTTTTACACCTTTCCTTGCCACGTCCCCCAAGTGAATCCCTGCAGTTGTTGAGTGAGTAACCCGGTTGTTAAGTTGAGTCTGGCTCCACCGTTGACTTTTGCTTGTTGGGAGATCGCAAAAGGGGATCCCATGAATTTGGGACACTGTGACTGTCATAAAGACGAGTCACTTGCCAAACATCTGAACTTTGACCAGGTGACCACGGGGAGGCTGTAACCGTCGTTAAGTGTGAAAACCCCCAAGCCCTCCCCCTCCCCCACCCAGCTCACCAGGATGCTCTTGTAGAGGGTGCCGTTCTGCAGGGCCATGCTGACCCAGATGATGCAGCAGTCCGAGGGGGAGGCGCCCACTTTGTTGGGGTCCTGGGGGTAGACGGAGCCACAAGAGGCTGAACACCTTCATCAAGGTGGCCCTTGATGAAGCCACACCCCATGGTGCGGAGTGGGGCCAGGCCATGCCCGGGAGAGGATGGGAGAGACATGTCCAGGGCTGAGACGGAGGGCCACTTGCCCTGTCGGAGACGGGAAGGGAAGTAGGCAGTGGGAATTGGCGCTGGGTTTGGGAAAAGGGCCCCTGTGGGTCACTAGGGATGCTGGCCTGGGGCCCTGCTGCTTAAAAAAGGATTCCCTGCTCCCTCCATGCTGGGTACCTCCTTCCTCCATTTTCATCATCCTCTTCCTTCCTTCCCCTTCCTTTCTTTGGCTCCTTCCTCATCTTTCTTCTCCTTCCTTTCTCCTCCTTCTCCTCCTCTTTTCTTCCTATTTCCTCCTCCACCTCTTCTCTTTCCCCTCCTAACCCCTCCTTTTCCCTTCCTCCTCCTTCTTCCTTGGTTCTCCTCTTCTCTTCTTCCTCCTATGCCCTCCTGTTCCCCCTCCTTTACCCTTCCTTTTCCTCCTCTTCCTCTCTGCTATTTTCTCCTCTACCTCTTCTCTTCCTCCTTCCTCTTCCATCTTCTTCCTCCTCTTCTCTTCCTCCTCCTCTCTGCTATTTTCTCCTCTACCACTTCTCTTCCTCCTTCCTCTTCCTTCTTCCCCCTTCTTCCTTCTTCCTCCTTCTCTTCTCTTCCCCCTCCTATGCCCTCCTGTTCCCCCTCCTTTCCCTTTCATCATCCTTCCTTCATCCTCCTCCTCCTCCTCTCTATTTTCTCCTCTACCTCTTTTCTTCCCCCTTCCTCTTCCTTCTTCTTCTTCCTCCTCCGCCTTCTTTTCTTCTTTTCCTCCTCTTTTCTTCCTATTTCCTCCTCCACCTATTCTCTTTCCCCTGCTACCCCCTCCTTTTCCCTTCCTCCTCCTTCCTTCCCAACATCTCCTCCTTCCCGACAATGGTGATGAATTAGGAGAGTTGGCTACCTGTCAGGATTGCAACAATTAACCCCATTTAAATCATGAGTCTCTAGCCAAACTCCAAAATGATTTATTGGGAGTTAAAAGATGTGGCACTTGCCTGGGTGTAGCTGACTCTGAGACACATCATTCATTGCCACCCTTGACCCTGGTTTTCCCACACACCCTGGGTGTATCGTAATTCATATTCTCCAACGGGATACATCCATAGCCAAGAGTCATCGATCATATTCTGCAGTTAGAAGTTTGCGTGGCAGAAACTTCGGTCACCTAGAAACTTATCTTTGAAAACATTTATGGAATGCTGCCCACTGCTTCTCCCTCCCTTTCTGTTGGCAACTCTAAAAGACCACAGAAATATTTTATGAGTTGACACTTATTTTGTTCTTTCACAAAGTGGCTAAATTAGTAGGCCAGTGAAATACTGTGGACATAATAGACTTAGATTTCAGCAAGGCATTTGACAAAGTAGACCACAATCTACTTTTTGGTAAGCTAGAAAAAAGTGGGATAGACAGCATCACCACCAGATGGATTCGCAATTAGCTGACAAAGCGTACTCAACAAATAGTCTTAGTGGTACTATGCCTACATCGAGGGAAGTCAGTGTAGAGAAAAGGAAAGTCCTACACTTAGGCAAGAAAAACTAACTGTGCAGGTACAGACTAGCTCAGTGCCAATAACTGTGAGAGGATCTTGGAGTCCTAGTGGATAATCCCTGAAATATGAGCCTGCCATGAGCTGCACCAGCCAAAAAAGCCAACGCAATCCTAGGCTGCATCAA